TATATATATATATATATATATATATATATATATATATATATATAGATATATATATATGTGTGTGTGTGTGTGTGCGTGTTTCTGTATGTATCGCTCGTGGGCAATCGTTGGCTTATGTACTGCATCTACTTCATCTGTCAATCACTGACAGTTTGTGTTGCCCGCTACAGAATGTCGCGATGTTGAACTGCGAGGCCTTCTCTGCCGTCTGTGTCTGTGTCTGTGTTCCATGTCTTAACACAATTGATCTTCTATTGCATGGTCGGATGCTACTCACCTATCCCCTAAACCCTAAAACCCTGTGAAACATGGGCAATCAAAATATAAACAATGCTACAATATATTATAGAATCATGTGTCATATGCAATACATACTTTCTGGCTGTAGCGTGATATTGTCCTACAGAAGAATAATTTATTTTTTCAAGTACTTCTACTACAAAGTGTGAGTCTGTGAGACGGTGAGATCACAAGCTAACTAACCCTAAACCCTAACCCCCCCTGTAGCCTAAGCTAACTTGCCCGTATCCCTTGACTATCCCCTTCCCTTGCAGGTTGTGACATCGTACTTTCAGGAGAGGAAGACGTTGTTTGTTGTCACACGCAGTTTCCATCTGGTGCTGTCATTTGTTGCGTCGGTTGGAGATAAATTTGCATATGGTAGGTATATTGCCCTAAACCCTAAAAACCTTGAAACCTTAAACCCGGAAAACCCTAGCCCCTCTCACTGTCTATGAGCATTGTGTGTCTACCCTACGTACCCCGACATGGAATATTTGACGCATGTTGTGTTCTGCTTTCCGACTGGATGATGTAGATGTAGGTATAGGGGATGGAGGGTATGACGTAGATATAGGTACAGGGAATGGAGGGTATGACGTAGATGTAGGTACAGGGGATGGAGGGTAAGACGTAGATGTAAGTAGATGTAGGTATAGGGGATGTTCTTGTTGGTTCGGTATAGTTTGTCGAGTGTCTGTGTTGCAGATGTATTCCATAACTGTAAGTGATTTCGTTTGCCTATGGCGGTCAGCATAGGGCATATCCTCGTATGATAGCTGTCCATTTGGCCCCAAAATTCCTGAACCCTACGCCCTAAACCCTCCCCCCCCCCTCTGAGTTGTACTTTGTCTCTCCAATACCCACACGCGTAAACAACACACACACACACACGCTTGTTGGTACTTATATTCGTGTTCTCACACCTTATCCAGCACATACGCACGTCTTCATAGATAACATACCCGCACGTCTTATTATAGCCTAGCCCTAAAACCCTAACACCCTATAACTATAACATACCCATACGTCTCTTACTATATCACAGTTTCGTACGACGATGTGATGTCGCCATTTCAGCAGAACAAGAGCATGCATGAGATCGGCTATCAAGCAATGACTGACTCTGTCAGAACACAGCTCGTTGCGCGAGGGACCAAGTACGAACAATTGGCCACAGGACAACGCTACATCGCATGCAAACAAGGTAGGCATAAGGTAGGCATTAAGGTAGGCATTAAAGTGTAGGTATAACCTAAACCGTATCCCCTAAAGAAACACCACAACTAAACTATAGACCGCGGAATGCAAGGTATGTTTGCTGCACACCACCACGGACCCCTAAAACTCTAAACCCTAAAGCAACACCAACACACTAAGAAACATGGACTACACCGCTCGCTAGGACTACAGCACACACAAACGACGGACAACATGCACGCCATTTGCCACAGACGTCTTCTACAGACCACACACAGGTGTATGTATGTACGTATGTATGTATGTATGTTAGGTAGTATGTATGTAGGTATATGTATGTACGTAGGTGTCTGTATGTAGGTGTATGTATGTATGTATGTATGTTAGGTGGCATGTGTGTAGGTGCATATATGTACGTACTTACGTTAGGTAAAATGTATGTAGGTGTCTGTGTGTATGTCAAGAGTATGGCGACAGCTGTGGTAGGCTTCGTATGCTACTACCCGTGCCCACTCCACGACACAGAGCCAAAGGAAGCTGCGATTAGATCTTTGTTTGGGGTTCACAGATATGCTACAGTCCATGTAAACTTTAAACTAGAGCCAGGGTTTTAGGGTTTAGGGTTTAGTTCCATCCTATAAGTAAGCAATAGTTGCTACAGTCCATGTAGGCTTTAAACCTTAAAAGACCACCACAGCCCATAGTACAACAACCACAGACCACAACCGACTCGGCATATAGGTAGATTTAGGGTTTTAGGGTTTTAGTATGAGGGTCCAATTCGCCCCTTTCCTGAAACGATTGTTTACGACAACTGCCAACACCTACCGGTAGTCACAAGTTCATCCCGGACATCAGGCATTGTATATAGCAACAGCGTGTAAACAAAACCCTAAACAAGTACTAAATATACCTTGCACTCTAAACCCCTAAAACCCTAAACCCAAGCAGACGGGTTCTTTGTTCACGTCGAGCGGGCTAAGGGGAGTTTTAACATTGTACGCAAATAGCTGCGAGGAGATGGACGGGCTATGCTGGACACCACCAAGGGATTCAACAGCAAACACAATTCTTCCACTGGGGGTATGCATGTGGCGGAAAAAACACATGGCTTTCACTGTATGCAAATGTATACATATGTGTTTATC